AAGGGCAGGAAAAATGGACAGGGAGCTATATGTGGATGTAACAGGAGATGCCAGCCTGTTTGGGGATAGGGGGAGATTTTTGCCAGAGGAGTAGGCAAGCAGGCTCCAAGGGTGTTGCAGCAGGCTATGCATGCCAGAGGCCCTGGGGCTGCGGAGAGTAGGTGGATTTGAGGAACCCAGAGAATACCTTCGCGACTGGCACATAGAAGTATAAGAGTCAGAGCCTCTGCAGACGGGGATGTGTAACCAGGTGGTTGAAGCCAACGACTGTTGCAGGTGTTGCCTTCCCTGAGGGGGTTGCAGGTGAAGACAACTAGCTTAGGGAAAATGTTTAAAAGGTATTGGATTTGGAAGAGGAGTTTCCTTGGAGAGGAAATTGGAGCTAAAGCAAAAGAAGCAGAAGGGAGAAGGGGCTAGGGAGAGAAAGAAAGTTGTTGTTTGTCCTGTCTACAGGATTCAAGGTTTGAGTTCCAGCTTTGAATTGCTTCAGAGTTTTGGAGGCCAGTGGGTTTCGGCCCCAGACTAGGCAGATCTTGCAGAAGGCTGCTGTGGACTCCTGAAGTTGGAGGCCTTCAGTAGCCAACCTTGGAGAGGAATAAATTTTGCAAGTAGCCATGCAACTGAAAAGGTTCCTCTTTTTCTGCTGTGGTTACAGCCTAGCTTAGCTGTGTGAGTGAAGCCCTTATTGGGTCATTTGGTGGCTATGACTGCTGTCTTGAGTATCGCCCTTCTGGTGCTGTGCTGAAGCATTCTGTAGCTCCGGGAGAGTCTCCTATCCTGTCTTCTGTTATCCTCATGGCCTAGCATCTGAGTGCTGTGTGCCCCAGGTTTGGCAGAGGCAGGAAGACGCCATCTTAGACCCGAGGCCTATTGTTCAAGAGAGGAGCTACACCTCCTCAGTGGTGGGAAGACACCATCTCTTTTTTTTTTTTTTTTAAGTCAACTGTGAATTTTTTTAAATATTTTTTAAAGATTTATTTATTTGTACAAATCAGAGGTGCAGGGGTGGTGAGAGGATTCACCGGAGACAGAGTGGGGAGCAGAACAGGCAGATGTACTGAAACACACTGCTGAGGGGAGCAGCGGGAGGGTCAGGAGAGGTCTGCTGCGCCATGTGGATCACCTCCCGAGCAGAGATTGAATTTGCACTGAAACAGCTGAGGCCAGCTAGCAGTGCAGCGTCCTAACCTGTTGCGCCACCAGGGAGGGCCTGACACCATCATTTAACGGTCTTTGTGCAAGAAAGTACTGCACATGAATTTGGGTAAAGTAAACAGCCATTATTGGCCTCAGTAACTCTTGCTTTTCCTGGTTTGTCAAATAAATCCTTTTGTTGTTATTTCCTAAGCTTGAGCAGTCTTGCAATTGTGTGCGCACGTGAAGAATCCAGACAGCATTTGGTTAAGTATTCGGGCAGCGGAGCTTTGCCAGGTTAGTGTCTCCTGATACCCGGTATCAGCTGGAGGTGTAGTGAGGGGCTTTATTGGTACATGTAGATATGTTTAGGCTCCTCATGGCAGCACTGCACCCAGGGAGAGGGTGACATCTGAGATCTGAAAGCTTTATTCTGGGCCTCCCTGGTGGCCTTGGGGTTAAGTCTCATCACTATCACCGCTACAGCCTGAGGTCAATCCTTTGCAAGGGAACTAACCCACATTTGGCACAGCAGACCTCTGCTACCTAGCCCACTGCTTCCCTTAGCAGTGTTTCAGCATATCCTGCAGTTCTGCTCCTCACTCTGTTCACAGGTGAACCCTCTCTCCCACCACACCTCTTGTCTACAGCCCAGTTCTACTGTGCAAAAAAAAAAAGCTTTATTCTGCAGCAGCTGTTCTGCCCTCCTGTGACTACACAGGTGATTCTCTTCACCAGCCTCCTCCCTTTGCAAAGCAGCTCTCCCCACAAGCCTGCTGCCTGTGACTGTGCAGGCCTCTCTTTTAGCAAACTGATCCCTTTCAGGGTCATTAGATTAAGTCTTTCTTTTTGAAGATTTATTTATTTATGCATACAAGAACTGGAGTGTAGTCCAGAGGTATTGGGGGAGGGGGTGGCGGTGACAGGATTCACCAGAGATGGAGTGGAGGGTAGAACAGGTGGATTGAATGAAGTACACTGCTGAGGGGAGCAGCGGGTGAGACAGGAGAGGTCTGCTGCATCACCTGGATCACCTCCCTTATCACTGGGAATCAAGTTCATGCTGCATTAGCTGCTGATAGCTTTATAGTGCTGAGACTTAACCCCTTGTGCCACCAGAGGTGCCCAAGGTCAGCTCTTTCTACACCCTTATATCTGTACAAGTGTCCTTTACTCCTTTTATTAAAAAAAAAAAGATGTATTTATTTGTGCATACAAGAACTGGAGTATAGGGCAGAGGTGCAGGGGGTGTGATTCATCAGGGACAGAGTGGGGAGCAGAACAGGTGGATTGACTGCTGAGGGACATAGAGAGGAAAGATCTGCTGTGCCATGTGTGTCAGCTTCCTGGCCGGCCAGGGATTGTGTGCAGTAGCTGATGATTGCTTGATAGCAGTCTTTAACCCCTGGCCACCAGGGAGGCCCTATCCTTTACTCTTCTCTCCCTTTTTAATAAGCCTATTCTTTGGGGGTGGGGGAGAAGCTTTATTCTGACAGTCTCCCAGTCATTGCATGAAGCTGACAGGTAGTTGGAGGAAACACAAAGAGTTGGGAGATGAGACAGATATTGTTTTCAGACACAGTTATAGGGTGAGAGGTGGCGGCAACTTGGACCTTTATGGTTGCCATGGAGATAAAGAGAAGTGGGTGGGTTGGAAGTGGAGGGGACAGAATGTGCTGATAGACAAGGTAGAACGAGGACACTGTAGGACTAGGGAAGGTCACCATCAAAGGAGGGGGCTGCAGCATCCTGTGTGAGCTGGGCGGCACAGCCATGGCAGCCATTCTTAAGTTGAAAGTGGTGATCACTGCACAACACTGTGGATGTTCTTAATGTGACTGAGTTGCACACTCAAAAGCTGGTGAAAATAGCAAATTGTATGTGATATATATGTTTTTTACTATAATAAAAAGAAACAACAAAGAAAAACCTAAATGTACACCAACTCAAACAAAACAAAATAAGAATCGGTTCTTTGATAACACCAACCACCTGGCAAAGGCTCCGAGCACCACATGACTAGAGAGGCACAGTGCCCATCGCTGCAGAGTTCTGCTGGGCAGCACCAGAGGTCTCCACCTCTGCCTGGGGCTCATTTCCTGGTGATTTTTCCAGGGGTTGCCCTGAATCCTATGGTGACCCAGAATGGCCACTGGGAGCCCATGCTGCCTTTATGGTGAATCTTGATGCCCACAAACCCACGGAAAAGTTGCTGGCTGCAACAGAGGCCATTCAGGACAGTTCCAGGGAGTTGTAATTAAGGGGCCATTTGCAGACATGCAGACAGGCCAGGGTAACCACAAGCCCAAGTCTTTGTGGGGTGGTTTGGGGCCAGGATGGATACCCATGGAGCCTTTACCATGCTCAAGATGGAGCTCACAGAAATGCAAGGGCCAGGCCCTCCCTGGTGGCACAGTGGGTTAAAGCTACCCACAGCCACTGAAGCATGAGTTCAATCCCCAGCCAGGGGGCTGACCCACATGACACAGCAGACCTCTCCTGTCTCCCCCACTGCTCCACTCAGCAGGGTATTTCAGTCAATCCACCTGTTGAGCTCTCCACTCTGTCTCTGGTAAATCCTCTCAAAACCCCTCCTCACACACACCCCTGCCCCACATCTCTGGCTTACTTCCCAGCTCTTGTATGCATAAATAAATAAATCTTTAAAGAAAAAAGAGGTAATTTGTTAATTTTTCGACCACCTGGCTTCTATCCTGTCTTCTATGAAGGGGTCCTGACCATTGGGGGAACTCTCAGGCCACTATCTGTGGGGCATCACCCCTTCCCTAGCCACGGAATTCAGACTGGGCATTCTTACCCTGTGCTTTGCATTCATGAGGAAACTTGCAGAACAGGGACCTGTCCCAATTGAAGCCACAGCCCTGGTTTTCCAGGCTTCCTGTCATTTCTGTAGACTTCTCAAGATCCTTCCAGTAAATCCTTTCTTAGCAATGGTTGACTGGAACTGCTCTGTTCCTGGCAACCAGAAGTTCCTGACTGGTAGAGGGCCATCCCTTGAGGACAGCTGGAGATGAGAAGTGTGGGGGTCAGTGAGACTGAGGTCTCCAGGAGCTAACAGATGGGCAATGGGTGGGGGAAGGTGAGTGAGGAGTTGAAGGGGGCTAGATATGTTCCTTCTACTATCCCCCAATCTTGCCTCCCAGTAGGCTGATCTCCATGGCCTGCTGCCTTTGACAGAGTCAGTCTCTCGGGGCACCCGTCAGTGGAGGGAAGGGAAGCGTAACCCACTCAGGGCAATGGATTCACCCAGAGGGCCCTTGCATTTCTTTTTTTAGGATTTATTTATTTATGCATACAAGAGCTGGAGTTCAGACCAGAGGTGCAAGGGTGAGAGGATTAATCAGAGACAGAGTGGGGAGCAGAACAGGTGGATTGACTAAAAGGCATTGCTGAGGGGAGCAGCGTGGGAGATAGGAGAGGTCTGCTATGCCATGTGGGTCAGTTCCTTGGCTGGGGATTGAACTCATGCTTCAGTGGCTGTGGGTAGCTTCACAGTGCTGTGCTTTAACCCACTGTGCCACCAGGGAGGTCACAAATGACCTCTTCAAGATGCTAACTGTCCGTTTCATAGGAGGGATCCTGGGGCCCGGGAAGGGGTACTGATCCACCCAGGCCAGATGACACAGTCACTTTTCCAGGGATATATTCCTGGTCAGGAGTATGATCTGAGCTGGGCAACAGAGAGGTTCTCTGCAAGGTGGCAACTGGTTTGCACCCCTAGAGCAACAGGAAGTTTCAAGTTTTCCCTATCTCAGAAAGGGTGTTTTGGGCACAGATCAGTAAGTCATGTTCAGAAAACACCCTTAAGAGCAGACAGACCAACAGACAAAGCAGGCTCAGTCTAAGTTATCTTTATATACATGGTTTATTTCTCCCCGACCCCCATGCTCCAACCCCAACCCCAGCTGCCCCTCCAGCGTGTGGTGAGGTTCATGTCTCAGAACTGGATTTCCAGAGGTAGGGTGGGGAGAAATGGGGAGCCCCTAGATACAGTGGCTTCCCAGTGGCCTCAGCCCCCCAGAGAGGAAAGAGAAGAGGGAGGAATAAGGCAGCAAAGAACTGGGATTCAAATACTCAAGAAGCTACACCACAAAGACAGAAAGTATCACCCTCTGGGGGGAAGGGGATGTGGAGAAACCACGGTCAGATTCCGCTGCCCACCCCTGTAGGGCATGACTAACCCAGAACCAAGGGGTGAGGAGCAGGGCTGGGGAGAAAAGGTTTGGGGTGAGAAGGAGCCCTGGGAAGGTCCCACCCTGGCCTCCTCTCCAGGGAGCAGGAAAGCAAGACCCAAGGAACCGCACACTTAACCACTCTGGGGAGTAGATGGAGGCCTACAGCTTGGTCAAGTCCAGTTTCAACTTGTAGGATGGGGGGCTGTCCCCAAAGGAGTGCGATGGGGGAGGGTATAAGGGCCAGTCAGGCTCTACCATGAAACCCTTGTGCTGCTCCAGGGTCAGGGGCTGCAGGGGGAGGAAGAAGAGGGGCTACTGAGGCCCATCCTGGCAAGGCTCCTTCCCATCCTTGACTTCTGATCACCCTGGTTACAGGCACGTGTCCTTACCCCCATTTCATAGAGGAGTAAAGAAACTTGTCCAGCAAATCAGGACAAGAGAAAGGGGCAGGCCCACTGGGGAAAGGGCAGGCCCATTCAGAACCAGGGTGAAGGTCTCCTGCCCACTCCCCTTGCCCAGGCCCCCACCTACCCAGAACTTGAGGAACTGGCCCCACTCACCAGTCCTGCCCACCTAGACATTTAGGTACTAACCCCACGCACCCACACCTTGGAGTGTTGGCCCCACTCACCTGGAACTTGAGGTGCTGGCCTGGCGCGGTCACCAGCGTAGAGCAGCTCAACCACAGCATCACCAGCACCGAGAGGAAGAGGCAGCAGGCCAGGATCCAGCGAGGAAGCCCAGAACGCCTGCCCCACCCCACAGGCATGCTCAGCTGTCCTGATCCTAGTGGATCAGGAAGACCCTCACCACCCCCCACCCCAGGGCCCCACTACACACCGAGACATGCAACTGAGGAAATCGTTGTCCTGCAATTCATCCGACTCCACCTTGGCTTTGCTGCTGGTCTTTACTCGGATCTTGGCCTTCCTCACCTTGTCCAAGGGGCCTACAGGGTCTGAGAGACAGAACACTTCTCAGCCGCCTTTCGCAAGAGGCCACAGTCACCACGATAAAGAGAAAGGAGATTGGGATGCAATGAGGCATAGTCCTAAAATAGAGTCCAAGCCCTGGGAGAAAGACTACGGGACCACTGAGAGATGGACCATGGAACCCAGGGTTGGCCCATGGGAGCCCTGGAGATGGCCTATGGAACCCTGAGAGGTGGAAATCTCAGTTTCCAAGGGCTGTTTGCCAGGAGAACCCCTTGTGACAGCTGACAATGGGGCCACTGCAGAAAAACACTGGTCTGGGTGTGGACCTTACCAACGTGCACCTCCAAAGCCTCAGGGTGGGATCCCCGCCAGGTCACCTCGACTCGTTGCAAACGGGCCCCCTCGCGCCCCAGGGTCTCCACTACAGGCTGGGTCTGGGCCAAAACAAGACAGTACAAACAGCCCTACCACCTTGGCCCTGGGAGGCATCTCTATGCCCAGTGTGCCCTACCTTGGCCCAGCTGGCACCAGGACCACTGGAGACATGGAGGACACCCTCCTGTGGGGTTGTGAGCTGTGATGAGAGGGATGTTATTTCCTGCCATGTGGGCAGGGAATTTCTCTTGTTTCCATCTCCCGGTGGCCACGTGACCCAATTCAGTCAACCAGAGTGAACCCTAGCTAAGTTAAAGCCCTAGCCAGGTTGTAATCTAGAGCCTTAAGCATCCACCCTGCTCTTGGTGCTTGCTTGGGGATGAGGCTATCACAGAGGAAAGCAGTCAAGAAGTGAAGTGAGACACTGAGGTCTGGATCTAGCTGGACCTGAAGCTCTCTCACCCATGGACTGTGCATCCCATGAGCCCAGAACCAATGCATCCCACCTTCTCACCCCAAACACCACTTACCATCTGGGGGTGACCCTTGCCATACCCCTCACCTGGAATACCACCACCTTCCCATTGTCAGTCTGCAGGTAGTAAGTCCAGGTGGAGGAGACGAAGCCCTGGGCTGAGTTGACAAGATCATTGCAGAGGGTAGAAAACAAGTCCAGGAGCGAGACAGCCCCACTTGGAGCTTCTAGGACCTTTCTCTGCCAAGGGCAAAGAAATGTCACCAAGGTAGATCATTAGCCAAGTGTGGGGGCAGGGAAGCTGGGAGACCTCAACACATGGATTCCCCAACTGAGTTTGAGAATAGGACTTCACAGAATGAAGGGCATTTGACTTGCCCTGTGTCTTCTCTGAACTCTAAAACTGGGATAATTCTCTTCCATTGTGAGGATGCTATGAGATTTTTAACTAGATAATGATACCCATAGTGCCTAATATGTAGTAGCTGCTATTATTAAATATTTCACCACCATGATTACTCTTATTTTGACATTAGGAGATAACTAAGACTAGGAGGGCCATGCAGTCTTCTATGAACAGTGACAACCTGTTGCGGAGAGGAAATGGGTGGAGGCAGCAGAGGGCTTTCTGGGAAACAGCCCATCAGTCTATTCTGTGCCTTGGTTTACCCTGCTGTAGCGTTGCCTAAACCACTCGTGGACCAGGTGAAGTGAGCAGTTGCTCTTTCTACTGGGGGGTGGAGGGGAGGTGGGGACAATGTGTGTGTATGGGAAGCTGCTCCTCTCTGAACCTTAATTCTGACACTTGCCATGCTCCATGACAATAAAAGTGCTTAGCCCAGCACTGGTATGCAGTAGGTGCTCAATAAAGGCAGCTTGGTGGTACTGAAGAAGAGTTAGGGGATGGGTGGTCACAAGCCCAATGTCTTTAAATGCCATGTCTGCACAGACCTGTGTGATCTTATGTAGCTGTTACATGGGCACCAAATTGGTGACCCTTTCCCAAGTACCTCTGGGGATACTGGCTGAGCAAATACTGATAAATGGTGACTGCTTTCTGTCATTGATGCCTTGCAAATGAGGCAGGGGAAGGGTGTGAGGGGGTCACAGAAATCATCACTGGCTCTAAACAGGGTCCCCAGTAGACCCACTATAGAATGAGGAACCTGAAAGACTCAGGATGTGAGAGCAGGTTGGGCAGCAAGGGGAGAGGGAAGGGTCAACAACTGGGACCACAGATGGGAGGGGTCCCACCTTCTGCTCAGGCTGGGGCTCCTCGGGTTCAGGTTCTGGGTTTTGGCTCCAGCAGCCCTCGCTGCAAGCATGCTGCTCATTCTCCTTCACATAGGCCTCCACGCAGGCTGCAGGGGCAGGAGGGTGAGACTGGGAGGGCCTTTCCTAGCCACCTCCCCCGTACTGGCCTGTACCATCAGCCAGCTCTTACCTGCTTCACACTCAGCCTGGGTGGCATTGGGCTTGGAGCTCCTGGCTACAAAGCGGCAGATGGAGAAGAGGCGGCAGCCACGCTCACAGGCACTGATCATGACAGCCCTGTCATACTTCTTCTGTGGGGACTCTGTGGTGTCCTCCAACTGGCTCTGAAACTCCACCTGGGTGGGGGACACTGGGTTTAGACCAGGGAAGAAGAGAGACAGGGGGCTCAAGCCACGGGGGTGGATGGTCATGGCTCAAGCCAGGAGGTAGGTTAGGAAGAGCCCCTTGGAAGCGCTTAGGTAGGTAGAAGGCAGAAGGTCCGGTTCCCCCCTCCAAATCCTGGAGATTGGGGGGATGGAAGCTAGGAATATTGTGGGTGGGGACTGTTAACTCTGAGGAGGAGTAAAGGGGGGATTTGAAGAGAGATGGACAATGGTTGAAAAACTAGGGAAGGCATCAGGAAATGCCCCCACCCCTAGAGATGAGAGAGGAAATTAAAGGGGATTCTCAGGCTTGAGAAAGGAGGGGGGCTTAGCGGTTTTGCTATCCTTCAAACCTGGGAAAACTGGGATGCGGCCAGGAGGGAGTGATTATGTGAATGGGGCTCAGAGCCCTGGGAGTGTAGGGAGAAGGATGTGGAAGCCGCTAAGGTGGAGGAGGGGACTGTCAGCCTGAGGTTGGGGGTTGGGTGCCTGAAAGTCCTTGCGCAGCAGCGAGTGGATAGAGCCTAAGGAGGAGATCAGGAGCCTCAGCACCACCACCACCCCCGCCCCACCCCACCCTTGAAGGGACTCTCCCCATCCGCATTCATCCGAGGGCCCCAATATCCAAATCCTCTCGTGGAAGGAATTCTGCCCCTCCCTCCCAGGAAGAACGCATCCATTCTCGTCGAAGGTACTTTACACTACCGTTTCCCCCCAGCGGAAGAGCCCCGCGTCTACTGGAGACCCTCCCCATCTCCGATCCCTTTCCCCTCCAAGGAGCGCCTGGCTACAGTTCTCCGCATCGGAGACCTGGCTGGCTCTCCGTGGCGCCGCGCGCGCATCACCTGCAGGGGCTGCGGACCGGGATAGCGGTTGCGGCACCGCTGCTGGCAGCTCTGCGTGTCCCCAAGCTGCGGGGCGAAGGGGTCCCGGATGGGTGGCGCGGGGCTGGCCAGCGGAGACTGCAGTAGAAGCAGAAGCAGAGGTAGCAGCGCCACTGAAGCCATGGCCGGGCCGGGCGCGAGGGGCGCGGGGACGCCGGCTCCTGGCTAGCGCGGAGGATGCGGCGGCGGTGGTGGCGGCGGTGGCGGCGGCGGGGACCGGGTCGCTGACGTCACCCGAGCGAGGCAGCCTGGGAAGGGGGGGCGGGGGATGCGGAGAAAGAGCGGGGGAGTGGCGCTGCGGCACCGTCGGTGTACGGGCGGGGCAGGTGGCTAGTGGCTCGTGGCTCCCGCCGTTTGTCCCATCCCGGGGATGCCAGGACGCCTCCATGGGTAGTCAAGGGCAAGGAGCTCTCCGCCAACAAAAGAGACCCACAGAAAACAAATGGATGAGATGGGAGGGGAGAGGTCTATTGGCTAGGGGTTATCAGGGAGGCCCTCCAACCAAGAAGGTGTGACAGCACAGGGTAGCCTTGAGGGGAGGCAGAGGAACCAGCGAGGGTTCGGAGGCGAGAGCTTGTTGGAACGGGAGGTGAGAGGGCGGTGGAACAGGTGGGGGGGCCGTGGGGTCGGCCGAGCTGGGGTTGTCGAAGGCCCGGGGAGGGGCTGTATTATCACCTCCTTTAATATCCAAGACAGAGAAGCCGTAACATGAGCACTTTGCCTCCTTTAAGAAGCTCTCCCCGGAAGGGAATGCACTGGACTATGATGACGGAAGCCCAAGGGGATTGCAATTGAGATGGGGAAATGCACAAAATGATGCAAAAATAAACTATTTTATATACATACTAAAACAAAAACAAAACAAACAAAGAAAAAACACCTCTCCCCATTCCTCCGGATACCCTGGCTGTCTCCACTCCCTCAGATCTAGCCCCTATACACAGACTAGGTGAATGTGGCTCCTGCACCGAATTGAGGGCCCTTCAGCCTAGGCAGAGCGAGAAGAGATAAAGAGGTGCAGTGTGGAGTAAGGAGTGCTGCTAAAATGTCCAATTCTCATGGGAAAAAAGGGACATTTTCACCCTCTGTGTCATCCTCCATGGCGACATATTGCAACCGCATGAATCTCAGATTAGAAGGGTCCCCGACCTCTCCCTATGTCAATTTTCAGAAAGAAGGGTCCCCTCAAGCCGGGTTCCCTGCAACGATAACGCCTCTTGGCCGACGTCCGTCCCGCAGGTGCCTGCGCTGGCCGCCGCGCCGCGGCTGTGGGCGCATCTTGCATCTACGCTCCGCCCCCGCAGACGCCCGTAGCTGCCTGGCTGGGTCAGTGGGTCAGAGGGCGCCGCAGGTTCCGGCGGAGGAGGAAGGGGCTGGAGAGGGGGGTGTCGTTGGCGGGCCCCCTCCCCCGGCCAGCCGCCGCGCTTTCATCTCTGCGGCCTCGGCCGGCCCCCACGTGGCTTAATCAGGCGCGGCTGTGCCTGGCGGACCCCGAACATCTGGATCCCGGCGCGGCCCCTCCCCCGCCCCGCCCCGCCCCTCCAGTGCTAGGCCGCGGCGACCTAGCGGCGAGGGCCTCCAGCCCGCGGTTGGCGCGCAGGCTGAGGACTCCGCGTCTCTCCAACTGCGCGCCAGACCCGCGTCTGAAGAAACAGCCACTGGTGATGACCCATACTGTCCCCCGAGGAACAGATGAGAAACTTAGGCTCCAGGACCCCTCCGCAGAGCCAGGATTCAAGCCCACACATGTCAATTCCAGAGCCCCGCACGCTTAAATCCTACACAATTACTGTCTTTCCTTCATTCCAAACAAAACACTTCCCAGGTATTTCCTTGAAACTACACTATAGGTACTGGTAGCTTAGTCCAATTTACGGATGAAGAAATTGAGGCACAGGGTGGCAAAAGGAGTCTGCCCAGGTGTCCAGCAAGAGAAGAAATAAGGCAAGATCGTGCCAAGGCAGGGGGTGAGGGGTGTTGGGCAGAAAGGACATGCTGAAGACGCACCAAGATGGACACCCTTGCCCGATTGCAGAAGGGGAAACTGAGGCTGGGGCTTGGGAATCCCCCAAGGTCTCCAGGGAAGAGCGAGTTTAGGCCCCCTCCCCTTTCCGCTCCACGAGGCCACTGAGGGCGAGAGCGGAAGGAGGACTCGACTCAGGCCCCCCAGGTGAGCCCCCGCGCCCCTCCCTCGGGTCCCTAGGGAGCAGGTCCAGGTGAGGGGCAGGCGGGCCGGCGGGCGGCCAGGGTCGGGTTTCAGGAAATCCGCCGACATTCCTTCGGGGCTTAAGAGGGAAAGTTGACTCGGCGCCGCCCCTCGCGCCCCCCCCCCACTTCCTACCCCCCGGGGCGGCCGGGCCGGGGGCGGCAGGCTGTTGGGGGGAGCGGGCGGGTGAAAGGGCTGCTGCCGGCTTGGGCGTGAATCAGCCGCGGGCCAGGCGTCCGGGAAGCAGTGACCGAGGTCAGGGCGGGCATCGGACAAGCGCCCTTTGTCCCTTGCCGCCCTCACCACGACCCTGCTGACCCCCACCCCCAAGCCGGGTACAATCTGGGAAGAAGGCAGGCACCGTGGCGCCTTGCAGCTGACAGTGGGAGGATGGGGAGAGGACTAGGGGCACGGATGTCCCCTTCAAGGGCCTCCTGGACCTGGGACATCCAAGGAGCTCCAGGGCACAGAAGGGCTGTAAACCTAGGCTTCCTGTGGCCGGTGGCACTGGTCTTGACCTGGATCTTGGCAATTTCACTTTCCCGAGATCCCCACCCCCAGCGTTCACAGGATCTGAACGTCTGAAGTACAGCGTGCACAAAGAGACTCACCCAGGCATCCTGCTCCCAAGGCTCAGTCCCACTTCCCATAGAAATTATAGAGGCATACAGGGGCCCCACCTCCTCACGCACATAGGTTCTAAACCTGGGTTCTGCTGTCTCAACATCAAGTCCAGTTCCCGATCACCATTTAGGTACCCCCTTTTTCTGGGAACACCCAGCTGGAACTCCAGACAGCTGATTCTCTCCACCCTAACCCCAACCCCACTGAGCAGCCCTGAATACCAGGTCTCTGCATAGTAGAGGTTGTTCTGTGCCCCCTTAACTTTGTGCCCCCTTTTACCCTAACCCCACTGGCTCTGAGTACTTATGGGACCCTGAAGATGCCACCACTATCTTCTTCCCAGTGACCTGCATTGCCTTATATTTATCAGGGGATCTGGAGCTGTGGTTCCCAACCTAAGTCTATACCTCACCAGAGACCCAGAGAGAGAATTGTGGACTAAGAACTGCCCTCCCCCAGCCCAAGTGGGGCCCTCCAATGTTCTTGTCACCAAGAACATTCCCAGCCACCTTCAAGGACTTGGGTCAATATTTGCCAGAATTCTATCAATGCTCCTTTCCCTCCCTGCACCGAGGCTGTGGTGGACAAAAAGGGGTTAAGCCACTGGGGGTACCAAGGCCATGTCAGGGTGCACCTAGGAGTCAAATCTCTTTCTTTAGTGGAAAGTATAGGGCAAAGGTTACCAAGAGGGTAGAGGGCAAACTCCAGGCCTGCACTGAACAAATGATCCATATCCTTCCACGGATAAAGGACAGAGAAAGGTGGCTATATGCTTAGGTTATACTGCAAGTCCTGGGGCTTGGACCTGGCTGGGATCCCAAGCAGCAGGATTCATTGGAACTAAGTTTTCTTGCTAATTGGGAGAAATGAGAAATATCTACCCTTTAAATTTATAAGCATTCACTGAGTTAGTTACCTGCAGCCCTCACTGGGCCCAGTATGGGGTCCTAATGGCTGTTAGGGTGTCTGTCTGAGAAAGACAATGCTTGACTTTCCAAGAGTAGCTGTAGTGTGAAGACAATTGAAAAAGACAAAGGGATGGAGAATGCCTGGAAAGAGAGTATGGCAGGGAAGGGTTGGGGGGGACTCGTTCTGAGAAGCTGATACTTGACCTGTGATTTGATGAAGAGAATGTGCTAACTGGGGGAGAATTTGGGGGAACTATATCCCTGCAGTGGAAACAGCAAGTGTGCAAAGACCCAGCCACAGTAGCAAGTGTGATATGTTTGGGGTCATGGGTCTGCAGTGGCTGGAGCAAGAGTTAGAGCAAGGGTGAGGAAGAAAAAAAATCAGGGGAGGAGGGAAAAAGGGGCAGATAAGACCTGCTCTGTTTCTTTTAAAAGCTCTTTCTGCCTGCTATGAAGAAGAGGGAAGGACAGTTACCTGGGAAGCCCAGACAGAGGCCAGGTGGCATCCCAGAGGAAGATGGTGAAGCCTGGCCCCGGGTGGGGTGAGGAGAGGGGATCAAAATCTCAGAAAAGGGATGTATCTTGGAATCAGAGCCAACAGGAATTGCTGATGGATTGGACGTGGGGGATGAGTGAAGAGAAGAGTTTCATGAGCTGAGCGTCTCCAGGTCTCTGGCCTGAGCACCTGGGTGGATGGGGAAGCGTTTTCTCCAAAAAGGGAAGGGCTGGGGGAGGGGCATGTATAAAAATTTTGCTCCGGGAATCTGAAGGGAGGGAGTCAAAAGTTGCTGAGTAGGGCTTATGTGGGAGGGGTGGCATGTATCTTGAAAATAGACTTTTAGCCAATAATGGCCACTTCCATTTAACCCTGTGGACCACCTGGCACCCTGTGGCCCATTTTCCTGACGTGACAAACTAAGGCCTTGGGATCACTTCTGCTCCAAAAGAAAGTCCCTCCCCCCACCTTGCTGTGAGGTTGTGTTAAGCATTTAGATAGTGGCATCTTCTGCTGTGTGACATCTACTCATAGAAACCCTTACACTGCCTGTGAGTTGCCACTGTACCAAGAAGGAAACTGAGGCAGAGGACCTGGTTTACTCCAATAATGCCAGTGCACCACTTCCTCCCCACAAAGCACCCAAACTGGGAATTGGTGGGATGGGTATGATGGGTATGTAGTGTCCTCAACACTCCATTTTCCGATCCTTTTTTTTTTTTTTTTTGGACAGTCTGGGGTCTGAGTTGGGGACCTCAGTGATAGAGGTTGGAAGGAAGCCTTTAGCTGAACAGTGTGGTGATACTCGAGTCCCCTCACTCCCCTCAAACACTTTTATCTCCTTGACCGGTAAGGGACATGGGGGAGGGTCAAGCCTTTATAGAAACCGCAGAAAGGTGGAGTTAGAGTTCTTCATATCGGGCTTCAGGTAGGGGCGGGGCTGCACCCTAATCACCCTTCGGGAGATAGCCCTGGAATTCTCATTT